ATTTTTATATAATTTACGGTTCTCCTCCTCTTTGTCATCCAACCAATTCAGTATATATATTCATTTTGTAGAAAATAATTTTTTAATAAAATAAAAAAAAATTTCAAATGAAAAAATATATATTTTTAAATTGGTTGGTTGCACAGATATAAAAAATATATTTTTATATAATTTACGGTTCTCCTCCTCTTTGTCATCCAACCAATTCAGTATATATATTCATTTTGTAGAAAATAATTTTTTAATAAAATTCAAAAAAAAATATCCAAAGAAAAATATATATACTTTTAAAATGGTTGGTTGCACAGATATAAAAAATATATATTTATATAATTTATTATATATTTTTCTCTTCTCTTTCTATTCCAACCGACTACTTACTAGACGGTTCTCCTCCTCTTTGTCATCCGACCAATTCAATATATATATTCATTTTGTAAAAAATAATTTTTTAATAAAATAGAAAAAAAAATATCCAAAGGAAAATATATATTTTTTTAAATCGGTTGGTTGAACAGATATAAAAAATATATGTTGATATAATTTATTATATATTTTTCTCTCCTCTTTCTATTCCAACTGACTACTTACTTACTGGATGGTTCTCCTCCTCTTTATCATCCGACCAATTCAATATATATATATTCATTTTGTAGAAAATAAGTTTTTAATAAAATAGAAAAAAAATATCCAAAAGTAAATATATATTTTTTTAAATTGGTTGGTTGTACAGATATAAAAAATATATATATATATATAATTTATTATATTTATTTCTCTCATTTTCTACCCTAACCGACTACCTACTGGACGGTTCTCCTCCTTGACCAATTCAGCATATATATCATTTTGTAGAGAATAATTTTTTAATAAAATAGAAAAAAAATTATCCAAAAAAAAGTAATTTTTTTTTTAAAAAATTGATTGGTTGCACAAATATAAAAAAATATAAATTTCTATCATTTATTATTGTTACGTAAGAAAAAAAAAACCAATGTGCATGGTTTTCGAGAATGGGTCTGTTAATGACAATGAGATCCTAAATGAGTTTGAATATAAGCCAAACGGCCTAAGTGTTATTAAGAAATGGGTTTTGTTCGGGAGAAACCTGTGATTAAGAGGTCGGGCTAAGAAGGGAAAACAATATACACTCAGGTTGGGTGGCATATAGGTCGAACAAAAGGAAGACGGGCGAAGAAAGATGAAACGGCCAATACGGAGGTCGGACAAAAGGAAGACGGACGAAGAAAGATGAGGGCCGATACGGAAGTCGGACAAAAGGAAGACGGACGAAGAAAGATGAGGGCCGATACGGAAGTCGGAAAAAAGGAAGACGGGCGAAGTAAGATAAGATGGCAGACACGGAGGATGGACAAGAGGAAAGGTCTGTTAATTGGTCGTTTAATTAAGCGACCTGTTAGTCGCCTGATCGATTGGCCGGTCATTTGGTCAAACAGTAGTTCAGTCGCTTGAAAGGGCGGTCAATAGGTCGCTTGATTGGGCGATCTATGAATCGTCTGGACGAATGGTTGTTCAGCCGTTTGAAGGGACTGAATGGTGGTCTCTCGAGTGGGCGACTGATTAGTCGTTTGTTCTAGCGACTTGGTAGTAACTGGATTGGTCGGTTGGTCGCCGTCAACCGCCCACTAAATCCTTCTCCATTGACACGTGGCTTTAACCGTCTCACCAACCGCATAACCCAATGATTGACCAACCGACTAATCCAGATACTAACTGGTCGCTAGACCAAACGACTCATTCGTCCCCACCAAGTGACCACCATCTGGTCTCTTCAATCGGCTGAACAACCATTCGTCCAGCCGATTCAATGGTCGCCCAATCAAGCGACCAACTGACCGCCCTTTCACTTGTCTGATCTCCGGGTCGGCCGTCTCATCCTTCTTCGCCCAACCTCCTTTTGACCAACCTCCGTGTCTGCCATCTCATCTTTCTTCACCCAACTTTATTTCGTCCGACCTCCGTCTCGTCCCTCATCTTTCTTCGCCCGTCTTCCTTTTGTCCGACTTCCGTGTCGTCCGTCTCATCCTTCTTCGCCCGATTTCCTCTTTTGACCGTCCTCCGTATCGGCCGTCTCATCCTTCTTCGCCCGACCTTATCTTCTCCGACCTCCTTTAAGATCCTGCTACCATTATTATTATTATTATTATTTTTTGTACTCAACAGTAATATTTAGATAGTTTAAATGAAACTTATATTAATTTCAATTATACATATAAAAAATTTAATGCTACCAATACTACGCACGCGTAGCGCGCTAACGAGCACTAGTATATATATACATGCAATAGCAATCAAATGCACGCGTGCATGTATTTTACCATATTTTATGCATTAATTTAATTTATGCACATTCATGTGAGTGAGTATTCTATTTCAATCATATATGTTTATAAATGCATGTTTGGGCTCATATTTTGGTTTAACCAAATTTATTTTTTTGGGTTTTGATTTCAACAAAAAAAAAAAAAAAAATTGTTATTCAATCAAGCTCCGGAGCAATATAGACTTTGTCAAGTTTAATATTTACCAAGCTTAAGCCTCAACTCACGACCAATAATGGTACAGGCAAGTGGTGCACGCCTGTCTCAGCACCATTTATATACCTTATACAGCTTATATGCATTTCAACTCAACGAATAATCGGTTTAAAAAAATTATAAATTTCATCGATTAAATAAATAATTAATTAACCGATTGTCCTTATGGACGTTATCCTGATTACCGGTAAATAGGTATCGAATAAGTCAAACCCTTCGATTTGTTTAAAGCCCTTTGCCACGATTCAGACTTTATATTTATCAATGGATCCATCAACTTTAAATTTCTTTTTCAGAATCTACTTACACCCTAAAGGTTTACAACCTTCGGATAAGTCAGTTAACACCCATGTGTTATTTTGCATGATGGATTTTATTTTACTGTCAATGGCTTCTTTCCAGAATGGAGCATCTAGACTAGACAGGGCTTCCTTGATCAATGTCGGTTCATTATCTAACATATATGTAACAAAATCTGGACCAAATATTTTCTCAACTTTGATCCTTTTGCTACGACGAGGTTTAGTAACCTCTTTATCAGGAATAGTCGTCCTTTTCCTTTTCTCACCACGTAGTGCTTCATCTACGGGTTCAGGACTAAGCTGGATCTTTTCTTTGTATGGGTAGATGTTCTCGAATAATAGAGCATTCCTCGATTATATCGCAGTTCCTTCGATCATTCTAGGAATGTCCGATTTATAACTATGAATCGATAAGTGTTACTATTCATCGCATATCCTATGATACACACTCTACCGTCTTCGGGCCGATAGCGACTTGCTTCGGAGACGGTACTTCCACTTTCGCGAGACACCTCCATATTTTTAAGTATTTGTATGAAGGTTTTCTACCTTTTCGTAATTCATAAGAAGTCACATCCTTACCTTTAAGTGGAATTTTGTTCATAATATAGTTTGCCGTTAGAACTGCTTCCCAACCCCCCGCGCAATTTTGGGATAATTCTGAACTAATCAACTAGGCATTCATTATTTATTTAAGGGTTCACTTTTTATATTCTGCGACCCCATTTGATTTAGGTGTATGAGCCGTAGTCTGATGAATTATACCACTTTCGTAATATAATTCTTCAAACGGAGCTACATAATCAATACGAACAGCTTTAATCTTATATTGAGATATGTTGGCTACAAGATTATGTTGGCTACAAGATTTTACATTAGGCGAAGCAATTTTAAATGCATAAATAACATACTATTTTTTCTTAATTAGAATTTTTATCCCACTTAATTTTTTTTTTTCTAATAAAATTTTAACGAAACGTATTCATTGTTTTCAATGGAATATAAGGGGGAAAGTATTATGACTAATCATATAAATTCATTGGTGTCATTTTTTGTTACATGGAAATTGTCATATCTCATTAATATGTGATGCGTTTTAATTACTATATTGTATTCGTGTCATTAAATGTAATATTCATAGCATATCTTACATTTTTGTAAATAGATACAATCAACTCATAACTTTCCTTTTATATATATATATATATCTTTCTAAAGTTTACCCGTCTATTTATATATATTTTTCATTCAAGACTAAATTTTTTATTTTACCATTTTAATTTGTCTAAATCAAAAAAATTTATTTTTTATTAAAAAAAAAAACTCTCAATTAAATATAAAAATATTCATATTTTTTATTTTTATATTATTTTTATTTTAATGTCAATGGTAAATAAACATTATACTACTTTATTACACTATATATCGATGAAATATTAATTTATTTTAATTTGCATTCAAAATCAAATCGGTCCCCACTCTAAATATCATTGTTATTATTTTTGTACGTCTCATTCAGAAATATTATTCTAAGAGTAATCATATACTAATATCAAAATATTTTTAATTTTTATTTCAAGTCAAAAGATAAAAATGTCAAAACTTTTTATATAGTTCCACTAACCAATGAAGTATTACTAATACCAGTGAAGTATATTCAAATGAAACGGAGAGAGTATATTTTATTTATTATATTATATATTCTCGTTGAAATTCATGAATTTCTTGATTTTAACATTCTTATATAAAAATAATATTTATAATTTATATAAAAATTAATATTTAATTGTTTTTGATAAAAAATAAATATTTTTCTATTAAGACGGAAAGAAAATAAAAAATATAGTTGGTGACGAAAGAAATACTGATATAACAACGAGAATAAAATGTAGTACCGGTGAATATCAACGGCACTATTTTCTGATTTATTTTTTTCTACGTATGTGTTATTAGGAACTCATAGTGCTTAGATCGACCAATGGCGAACTTCCACGTACCTGGTGCTGGGTGACTGGCTAAAGCTGTGCAACCTACGAGCTTCCTCTTGTTCAATGCGCACAACCTCTATCCCGGAGCAGCCGGTAAACAGTCAGCCTTCTGTTGGCTTGTCGAGTTGTCGTACGGGCCCCGAATGGTCCAAGCCCGGACCTTGAAATTGAATTCCATTCCCAGCACCATACCGTGTCGCGCGCACCATCCGCTGCTAATGGTGTTCTGTTGTTCTCAAGAATCTATTGTAGAGAGTCAAAATTCTCGAGAATTCATCGCAACAATCAAATTGAAGAGGTGATCGTCTGCCCAACTTGTTGTTTCTGACCTAATTTTTGGGGATCCAAGTGCTGGAAGGATAATTGGTTTCGACCTTCTTCGACTATTGGAAGAGAGATTGGGGAATTTTCCTCAATTGGGAATTGAGGTTTTTTCCTGACTACAAATACACTCTTTTATCTCTCTACTACTAATTTAATTTCTCTCCAATTTGAAATCGTTGTGCTGTGAATTCCTGCTAAGGAAGATTCGTAGTTGGATTCGAGGAAGGAGGAGATTTTGATCATTATGAAGTGTTTTAGCGTTTCGTGTGATTCATTTTTGATGTATTAGCGTGTAGTGGAAGAATTCAGGAGTTAAGAACAATTAGGTCTGCAGATGAACAACCAAAATCACTACCCTCCTCCTCCTCCTCCTCCTCCATACCCTTACAATCCCGGCTATGGCTACCCTCATGGTCCAGCACCTCCGAGTCAATACCCTAATCCAGGTTATGGTCCGCCGCCTCCTAGTTATCCCTCTTGTCCAGAGCCATATCCCTACCCACAGCAGCCCCATTATCCACCCCCTTATTCCCAATCACCTTCTGGTCATCTGAATTATGCATATCCAAATCCTTCAGCACCCTTTGCACCTCCTCCTGCACCCCACTACGCATCAGGCTATGGTTCCGACCCATACCAACATCATTTGTACCCTACTGTTCCAGCTCCTCCGCCATCGGCTCCTCCTCCATCATTGGATCCTCCTCACCCCATTCATCATAACCTTCAGCATCAACCATCTGGAAGATTGCAGCCTCCTCATATTCAAACTGAAAGTCCTCCAAAACCAAATGATCATTCCAACTATCCCCATTACCAAGGTGGTTCATTCTATGTGGATGATCCACTAGTGAACTCTAATAGATTGGATGATAGTTCCCCCAGTTATCCCTCTCTATACCCAAGAATAGATGATCAGTTAGAAAGTATGCATTTGTCTGATGCTCACCATAAGCCATCAGCACCAGCGTCGCCGCCAGGTCCGTCTTCTGCATTAATTGATCCCACTATGAAATTTCACTCTGGACCTTTGCCAAGGACTGATAAACTTGATATGGTGTCTTCGTATGGGTCTCACAGTAGCTCCTTTTCGAGGTTGGAGCAATCTCAGCTGGGCAAGGCAGATTCATTCTCAAGTACCAATGTTTCATATGGGTTAGGCATGCAGCTTGTGCCAGCTTCACCTTCTAAATCATCGCTGAAGGTCTTGCTCTTACATGGGAACCTGGATATATGGGTATATGAAGCGAAAAACCTCCCAAACATGGATATGTTTCACAAAACCTTAGGGGATATGTTCAACAGATTACCTGGTAACATGAGCAGCAAAATTGAAGGGCAAATGAAAAATAAGATTACAAGTGATCCGTATGTATCCATAACTGTAACAGGTGCTGCTATTGCGAGGACTTATGTGATAAGCAATAGTGAAGATCCTGTTTGGAATCAAAATTTTGTAGTTCCGGTGGCTCATCATGCTGCAGAAGTGAACTTTGTTGTGAAGGATAGCGATGTTGTAGGGTCACAATTGATAGGCACAGTGTCAATTCCAGTTGAGCATATCTATGGAGGAGAAAAAATCCAGGGATTTTTTCCAATTCTTAATGCTAGCGGAAAGCCCTGTAAACCCGGGGCTGTTCTGCGCCTAGAAATACAGTATTATCCAATGGAGCAATTGAGCATTTACCATAATGGAGTTGGAGCTGGTCCAAATTATGTGGGAGCTCCTGGGACATACTTTCCTCTTAGGAGAGGTGGGACAGTTACCCTCTATCAAGACGCTCATGTACCTGATGGTAGCCTCCCGATTTTGAAGCTTGATAATGGGATGCATTATGTCCATGGGAAATGTTGGCATGACATTTTTGATGCCATACGGAATGCACGCCGCCTGGTTTACATTACTGGATGGTCAGTATGGCACAAAGTTAGACTTATTAGGGATGGGGAGTCAGTATCGAACTACACTTTGGGTGAGCTTCTGAAGTCAAAATCTCAGGAAGGTGTAAGAGTGTTGCTGCTTGTGTGGGATGATCCAACATCCAGAAACATACTTGGCTACAAAACAGTATGTGTTTGACTTCCGCCAAACATGGCATCCTGAAGCTGCATAATATTATTATTATTTTTTATCATTAATCTCAGAATGTGTTGAAATATGCTGGTGATGTGTGAATTTATATCAGCATAATGAGAAATCATTGCGGCTTATGAAATCTAAACAACAGTTGTGGATCAATCCTGAAATTTTCCCGCCCCAAAATACTTTTCTTGAATTGGGAAAATAAAAGCCACTAATATGCAGGCATGAGAAAATATAGATGATATTCAACCATTACGTTGTTAGAGAAATATTTTTGAAACAATAATTTATGAGTTAGACCGCTTGATGATCGTTGATCAAATTGACTTTCCAATCTTACTGGTCTTAAGTTTTCCGTTATTTAGCTGTTTGTCATCCATTTTTGGAAATAATTGATTTGATGTGTTGAATCAGATTTCTAGTTGGTGCTCATTTATCATTTTTGTCTTGTGTTGCTAAGTGTAGTCTAACTTGATTTAATTGCATCTACAGTATTGTGTGTGATCAGTAATGTCTTGCTTGAGTAAAATTACATTTTAATTTTCTAAAGCATCCCTGATCCTTATATAATCAGGATGGAGTCATGCAAACTCATGATGAAGAAACTCGTCGTTTTTTTAAACACTCTTCTGTTCAAGTACTGCTATGTCCTCGAGCAGCAGGAAAAAAACACAGCTGGGTTAAGCAGAGGGTATGGTTCCTTTTGCATCTTTAATATTTGCTTCTCATTCTAATCTGTGATATTGATGCAATGCACACAACACATATCACTTGATTTGCTTCAAGGTTTTTGCTAGTTTGTTTGATTTTTGGTTCTTGAGTAGTAAATCAGTAATATGCATATTGATAGCATGCCTAGGACTGGTCATTCCGTGGTTAACTGTCGGCAATGTTGTGAAATAGAATCTGATTAGTTGATAAATGTTAGGAATGTTGGCAATGTTGTTTGACCTTAACTTTTTTAAGTTGAGGCACATGCAGGAATTCTCACAGATAAGTAGAAGCTGAATGCTAATGATCTGAGTATAATTATTGTATTGTATTGTATTGTTTATGCGTGGAGTTGAGAATCTGAAAATTCCTTAAACAGATGCCAGCCTGATAGTGTTCTGTGAAGGGGATAAGCAATGGATGAAAATCTTGATTGTATTTTCTATGCTGTGTCATCTAATGACGTTCACAATGTACTCTGGACATTTCTTAATTGATTTGGATCAAACTAAATGGTCCTAGTAATGAACATGATGACTTCACTGATGCTTTCGGTAAAATAAGAGTGAAAATACTATTTTACATTTGAAAAATATATTCATGGCTGGGAGTAATTTTCAGAAAATTGGAAGCGGACGCCATCTCTTACATTAAAATGGGTAGAATATACATGAGTTGTGTCCTGCTTGTAAGTCATTGTCTTCAGAAACTATAGATGACTGATGCTATTTAGCTGTAAATTAGGTTTGTTTGATTGAAACACACTCATCCTTTTCTCACTCTATTTATGTATTTCTTTCTTATTGCAGGAATATCTGTTTCTTTTAGCATGTTAGCCACTTTATTTAACTTAGAAGTTTTTATTTGAGATTTATTATCTCGACCTCTTGACTTGATACATGACATGTTTAATGTCTTGCAATTGCATAACTAGGAAGTTGAAGTCATTTATACTCACCATCAGAAAACTGTGATAGTGGATGCTGATGCTGGGAATAACAGAAGAAGAATAATTGCTTTCGTGGGAGGACTGGACTTGTGTGATGGCAGATATGATACTCCTCAGCATCATATTTTTAGAACACTGCAAACACTGCATTCAGATGACTACCATAACCCAACTTTTGCTGTAATTCTTTTCTCCTGTCTCTATTGCGTGATATATTATTAAAATGCTAATCTCTATCCAAGGTTTATAAATATTGTTCTGTTTCTGATCATCCAACCGTTAACCGTCTCATAAAATGATTTTATTTTCTTGGTGAAAATATGCATGTGTATTTTGAGAAAATAATGTGCTGCAAACAGAATTGCATCTCTATTTCTTGATTAATTTCAGTACATGAACAGGGGAACGTTGATGGCTGTCCAAGAGAACCATGGCATGACTTGCACAGTAAAATTGATGGCCCAGCAGCATATGATGTTCTGAAAAATTTTGAGGAGCGATGGCAGAAAGCTTCAAAGCGCCATGGAATTAAAAAACTAAAGATGTCAGATGACGATGCCTTGCTTCGATTAGACAGGATGCCTGAAATATTAGAGATATCTGATGCTCCTTGTTTACATGAAGACCATCCTGAGGCTTGGCATGTTCAGGTAAATTGGTGATTGACCTTTAGTGGATTCAATGTCATTTGGTTCATTGTCGTTTGATGAGATTTTTTATCCAAACAATTGTCCTTGCCCTTTACTTTCAGTTATTAGTTTTACGTGTTGTCTTTGTTTTTTTTCCAGAAAAATCCCGCATTGAAATATAGTATTAAATATCTCAGCATTACCTTAATATTGTAGAAATGGGCTTACAATGTTCAGTTTTGATATGTCATTCAGGTGTTTCGATCCATCGATTCAAATTCTGTCAAAGGTTTTCCAAAGGATCCTAAGGATGGTCCAGCACGTGTGAGTAAAAAAACATGATTCTTTGCAAACAATTAAATGGCTACAAGTACTTTTACTTGTATAACATTGTTACCACATTGGAACAGAACCTCGTGTGTGGGAAGAATGTTCTTATTGATATGAGCATACATACAGCATATGTGAAAGCCATTCGAGCTGCCCAACATTTCATTTATATTGAAAATCAGTACTTTATTGGGTCCTCATACAATTGGAGTCAACACAAGGGTGTTGGTAAGTGCAGTATTCATCATTTCAATTATTATTACCAATTTTATTTATTTATTAATATCCTCCATACTTAAACTGGCTTTGTTTGTGGAGGTCATATTTTGCAAAAAAAAAAATGTATATGGAAGTTACAAGGATATATTTCCATGCATATCTTGTTCTTTCGGTTGCTGTTCTATATGCCTTGATCTGCTACAATTATATGGTTATTGAAACAGTTGTGCTGCCTGATCATAGGGACCATTTTCGGAAATTTATTGTTGCCATCCTTTCAAAGTTATTAAAGTGCTAATTCATGGTTCCGGTAGTGTTCAATTGCCCACAGCTATGCAATTTGAAAGCATTTTGATTTTGTGCAGGTGCTGATAACTTGATCCCAATGGAAATTGCACTAAAAATAGCTGAAAAAATTAGAGCACGGGAGAGGTTTGCCGCTTATATCGTCATCCCTATGTGGCCAGAAGGCAATCCAACAGGAGCTCCTACACAAAGGATTTTATTCTGGCAGGTATGCACGTTCAAATTTCCAGTGGTTTGTCAAATCAGTCATGTGATGTTATATATCATAATAATATGTATATATTCTGTTCCTTGGTTTCTGAGGTACAAACTGAATGAACAAAATTTGCCATTTAAACTGCCCTTCTTCAGCCTACAATTATATTTACATTTGCCTTGATTGTTTTTCTATTTTTGTCCTTCTTTTTTCTTTCTTTAGAATAAAACAATGCAAATGATGTACGAAACCATATACAAAGCCTTAGTGGAGGTTGAGCTTGAGACTACTCACTCACCGCAAGATTATTTGAACTTTTTCTGCCTTGGAAATCGTGAAGCCGTTGATGCAGGCACCTCGGTTGAGAGTCCGCCTGCTGCAAACACTCCTCAGGTATTATATTCTGCATTTCTGTTTGTAAAATTAAATTTCATACTCTTCAAAAAAATTTATATTAGCAGCTGCCTGAAAAGGAGAGGTTCTAAGATTCTTACTTCCCCGTATTCTAATGCAACAGTCTCTGCTTTTGAGGAATACCTTCTACACATCCTTTTAATTTTCTTTGGTACATTATTCACCAATTTTAAATACATTTTTATTTCAGGGATTGTGCAGGAAAAGCCGCAGATTTATGATTTATGTTCATTCTAAAGGTATGATTGTGGACGACGAGTATGTGATAATAGGGTCTGCAAACATTAATCAACGGTCTATGGAGGGTACTCGGGACACTGAAATAGCAATGGGAGCCTATCAACCTCATTACACATGGGCAAGAAAATTATCAAGTCCACAAGGACAGGTAACTGAGTGTTCGATCAAATTGAAATCAATTCAGTAGAACATAAACTTAGGGACACAATTCATTAAACTGAAGCCCTCTCTATGACTCTGATAAACTGTATCTCTGACTTTACATAATACAGATATATGGATATAGAATGTCCCTATGGGCCGAACACCTCGGATTCCTGGAGGACTGTTTTACTCAACCAGAGTCTCTCGAATGCGTGCAACGTGTTAGGTCTTTGGGTGAGGCCAACTGGGAGCAATTTGCATCCCCCACAGTTTCTGAAATGAGAGGACACCTCCTCAAGTACCCTGTTGAGGTTGACCAGAAGGGCAAAGTCAAGCCTCTTAAGGGATGCGAAACATTCCCTGATGTCGGAGGGAACATAGTCGGTTCCTTCATCGCCATACAGGAAAACCTTACCATCTAACTTCTCATAACCATTGCTGCCATGCTCGGTATGTTTCTGCTTTAATCTGAAGTGGCGATTTTCTTTCTTTTTTTTTTTTTCTTCATCTTTGTGTTATTGAATGTTTATTACTTCATTGAGGAAAGATATTCCAGTTTTGGTATTGATTACATACATTTGTGTGTGTAATATAATAGGGAAAATGATGGCTTCACTCTCAAGAATCCCTACTTCTTTGGTGTACATTCCTTGACTTTGAGGTTTCTATTTAAATTTTCTGTCTGTGTAATGTAATCATTGGGAAATTATCTTGGCTTTGCACTTAGACTTGATTGAATTTTAGTTATGTATGTATGTATGTATGTATGTAGATACATATAATTAGGACAAGTGCATAAACTTTTTAGGGTCCATTTGTTTGAGCACTAGATTGTTTGAAGTTATGGTTTTGGTCTTGCACTATTTTACTTTTTATTTTTTTATTACTACTGTTGGTTTGTTTGAGCTCTTAGAGGTGTTTGTAGAGAATTAACTTTATTTATTTGTGCGTGTGTATGTTTTGATTGTGTTCTAACTATTGATATTTTTAGAGTAAAATAGATGTGTTGTACGCATAATAAATACGTGTACATAAATGGATGCTTTTGATCAATTATGGGTAGAGGCTACTTAGAGATCTTGTTGGTATTTTTGTAGTCATCTACTATCCTTTCTATTTATTATATATATATATATATATGTATGTTTCACAATGTAATAAATGCATGAACAAAAGAAATAAACACTCCACAATTACTTCTCCTTTCTCACGTGTCTCTCTCTCTCTTTTACTTATATATATGTATACATATATAGCATATTTATTATATAGATAATATTATATTATTGCATGCACACATATACATATATATATACACCCACACTCATAGCATATACCTACTACATAAATTATAATATATATGAATAAAATATATAAAATAGTAGTTAGCGATAGATGTCCGGGATAAAAATTCCCCGAGCCTAGATCGTGCAAAGGCCATGATTTTTTTGTGCCATCACATCGATGAGGCACTGAAAATGCAGATGTCACACTGGAATCTCCATTTGAATTGTGGGAGAAATTGAAAGAAAGATACGAATATATAAGGCTGACTATGTTGCCAAGAGCACGAAGCGAATGGCAAAGCCTACAGCTTCAAGACTTTAAAATAGTCCAAAAATATAATTTTATCATGTTTAAAATAACATCACAACTGCCTCACTGTAGCGAAAATATATCTGAATCTGATATGATAGAGAAAACTTTCTCCACTTTTCATGCCTCTAACATAGTTTACAGTAGCAGTATCGCGAAAGAGGCTTCTAGAAATATTCTGATCTGATCACATGTCTCTTGCTAGCTTTTGCTGGCAGAACAAAATAATGAATTACTGTTGAAAAATCACGAATCTCGGCCGAAAAGTGCAAATTCATTTCCAGAGGCAAATGCAATACAACCGGCAAATCCGGTGCGTGGTCGTGGGCAGGTCGGAAATCAACGAATTGATCGCGATCGAAATTAGAATCGCGGCCAGGGCCGAACAAACTCATACGGTCACAATAATTATCAGAACATGTTACGATATGTGCCAAATCGGCGTTATATTGACAGAAGGCCGTACAGACCTCAACGGAGGTTCAACACCAGGAGAAACAGAAACAATGACAAAGAATGTACCTGGGGTGTGAATCAAAGGCCATTGGGCCCATATTTGTCTCACCATCAGTCACTTACATGAATTGTATCAGGCCTCAAAAGGAAGGTAGGGAATAGTTGCTGCCGAAATAAACCACGCTGCCCACGATGACATATTTGATTATGTGATGAATGAAAATATCACGCACCTGGATGCCGATGATTTGTTTGACATAGCTGATGATGTTAAATGTTGAAATGTTGTTGTATCGCTTTTGTTATTTTGATGTTTTCTGCCCTTTTTTGTATTACCCCATATAATATAAATCTATTTTGATTATGTTACTAATACATGTCTTTTATCATTTTTACCTTTTTTTCAAAGATATGGATGCCAAATATTTTGGAGCCGATGACAATAACTGCCTTATGGACAGTGCTACGACTCACAACATTATGAAAAACAAAAGTTATTTTTCCCATCTAAAGTTATTGTCATCATTTTCTTCCGGCTTGTATTACTAAAAAATAAGTGTCATTGAAACACATCACCTAGTAGACCAAATGACTACTAGCGAATTTAAAACTTGACACGATCAACTTGGGCATCCTGGCAATGTCATACTGAAGCGAATTGTTGAAAATTCAAATGGTCACTCATTGAAAAAGAAAATTATTTTAAGTCCAAATGAATTTGCTTGTGCTGCCTGTTCCCAATGGAAGTTAATAATCAGGTCATCTCCAACAAAGGTTGGATTTGAATCTCCAGCTTTTCTGGAAAGAATTCAGGGTGATATTTGTGGACCAATAGATCCACTGTGCGGACCCTTCAAGTAATTTATGGTACTGATCGACGCATCAACGCGATGGTCACACGTATGTCTGTTATCTACTCACAATCTAGCTTTCGTTAGACTACTTACACAAATAATTAAATTGCGAGCACAATTTTCAGATCATCCGATAAAGAAAATACGTTTAGATAACGCTGGAGAGTACTCATCACATACATTTTATGATTACTGCATGTCAATTGGGATTACTGTGGAACATCATGTTCCCCATATACATACGCAAAACGGTCTGGCTGAATCCCTTATCAAAAGATTGCAATTAATTGCTAGACCATTGTTAATGAGGTCTAAACTTCCTGTATCATGTTGGGGACATGACATATTGCATGCAGCAGCCCTCGTGAAAATAAGGCCGACAAGTTATCACTGTTATTCCCCTACTCAATTGGTATCTGGAAAAGTGCCAAATATCTCTTACCTGCAAATTTTTGGGTGTGTTGTTTATGTGCCAATTGCGCCACCCCAACGTACGAAAATGAGACCTCAAAGAAGGTTGAGTATATATGTCGGGTATGAATCACCCTCGATTGCAAAATATCTTGAACCAACAACGGGTGATTTATTTACTGCAAGGTTTGCAGACTGTCACTTTGATAAATCTCATTTCCCGACATTAGGGGGAGACAATAATCAACTGAAAAAAGAAATTTTGTGAAAAATACCACTTGAATTTGATCCTCGTATGAAACATAGTGAACTTGAAGTTCAAAGAATTGTGCATTTGCAGAAAATTGCAAACCAATTGTCTGATGCTTTTAATGATGCTGCCAGAGTTACAAAATCATATATTGTAGCAGCAAATGCACCAGCTAAAATAAATATCCCATAAGGGAAGGTTCCGAGTGCTAATGAGCATACTGCCCACTTAAAACGTGGCAAACTGTTGGGTTCCAAGTAGGGATGTCAACGGGGCGGGTTCGGGACGGGTTCTGCAGGCCCCGAGACCCGCCCCGCTAGAAAATATTAGGCTCCGAGACCCGCCCCGCCCCCTTCCACCCGGCCCCAGGACCCGCCCCGCCCCGAACCCTCCGGGTTCGGGCCAACTCGGCAAACCCGTTTTTTAAAAAAATATATAATAATAAATATTTTTTAACAATCGAATATTAAAACAAATAGCATTAAAAGTACAAAACAAAATCTAAAAAAATCAAATATTGATCCATAAAAATAAGATAAATAAATAAATAATATATTTTTATTATATAAATATACATATATTAGGTATAATAATTTTAAAAAATTATTTGAAGCAGGCGACTAATTGAATTTTATATTTAAAACTATTTAAGTAAATAAATAATATATTTTTATTATATAAATGTACATATATATATTAGTTATAATAATTTTAAAAAATATCTGAATTCGGGTCCGGGTCCGGGGGGTTTTTAGTAAAACCCGTAACTCGCCCCGAACCCGGCCGGGTTTAAAATTTAAAATCCACAACCCGCCCCGAAACATATTATTTAGACCCGAACCCGCCCCATTAAGAGCGGGTCCCGGGCGGGTCCGTGGCTAACCCGCCCCATTTGACATCCCTAGTTCCAAGAATAAGAATCCACGAAAGAAGAAAGTTGTAAATACTGGTGAAGAGATCAACAATGATAAGATACCTAAAAAGGTCAGTACAACCCCTGAAGAGGTTGATACTAAAAATTCTGATGAAAGTGAGGATGAAGTTATTGAAACTTTTGTTAACTATACCACCAGTGGAAAATGTTGGAACAGAAAGAAAACAAATATTGATAATGCATTTTCATAATCTGTAGCACTTGATATAATGAAAGATGACGAGGATTATGAACCAAAATCAATTGATGAGTGTTGGCAAAGAGATGATTGGGCAAAATGAAAAAACGCAATGAAGTCTGAATTGGACCCATTGAATAAACGGCAAGTATTCGGACACATTGTCCAAACACCTGAAAATGTGAAACCTGTTAGTTACAAATAGGTGTTTATGAGAAAAAGAAATGAAAATAATGATATCACAAGATATAAAGCAAGACTTGTAGCCCCGAGTTTTTCCCAGAGACCGGACATTGATTTTGAATAAATATATTCTCTGGTCATGGATGGAATAACATTCAAGTATCTGGTAAGCCTGACAGTACACAATAATCTTGATATGCGATTAATGGATGTGGTTACTACCTATCTTTACGGCTTCTTAGACAATGATGTATATATAAAAATTCCAAAAGGGATAAACATATTTGAATCATTCAAATCAAAGCCAAAATTTCCATCAAATTGAAAAAAAAATTTGTATGGGCTCAAACAATCAGTCCGAATATGGTACAATTGTCTCAACGAAAGTTTAACAAAAGAATGTTACATAAATGACCCTATCTGTCCATGTGTTTTCATAAAGAAAAAACGGGCCTGACTTTGTAATCATTGTTGTATATATCGATGATCTTAATTTGATTAGAACTCCTGATGAAATCCAGAAAGCTGTTGAATATCTAAAAAAACAAAGTTTGAAATCAAAGATTTTGGAAAAACTAAATTTTGTCTTGATCTGAAAATTGAGCACTTGGAAAGTGAAATCTTTATCCACCAATCAAATTATACCAAAAGGGTACTAAAACAATTTCTGATGGATAAGTCACATCCGCTAAGTACCCCAATGATCGTCAGAGCACTCGATCCATCAAAAGATCCATTTAGATCAAAAGAGGAAAATGAAGAAACACTTGGCCTAGAAGTGTCATATATGAGTGTTATAAGCATATTGATGTATCTTGCTAACAGTACACGACCCGGCATATCATTTGTTGTAAATTTATTGGCAAGATTCAGCTCATCGCCTACTCGACAACATTGGAATGAGAAACCACATTTTTCGCTATCTCCAAGGAACAATTGATCTCGGGTTATTCTGCTCGAAAGATTCTTGACATGAACTTATTGGTTTTACAGATGCAGGATATTTATCTGATCCTCATAAAGCCAAGTCACAAACTGACTACATTTTTATTTGTGGCGAAACTGTGATCTCTTGAAGATCGATGAAACAAACGTTAAACGGCCACCTTATCAAATCATGTTGAAGTATTGACAATACATGAAGCTAGTTAAGAATGTGTTTGGTTGAGGTCAATGACTCAACATATTTTGAAAAATTGTGAGTTAATATACCTGATGATAAAATTCTCTAAACTACAATGCATGAAGATAATGCAGTTTGTATAGCCCAATTGAAAGGGGGTTACATTAAAGGAGATACAACGAAACATATTTCACCAAAATTCTTTTTCACTTATGATCTACAACAGAATGGTGAAATTAATGTACAACAAATTCGATCAAATAATAATTTAGCAGATGTATTAACCAAGGCATTACCGACTGCAATATTTGAAAAATTTGTAAAGAAAATTGGAATGCATTGGTTCAAGGATCTCAAATAATGCTCAGATCATGGGGAGAATCATTACAAGAATGATGTACTCTTTTTCATACTCTTTTTCCTTCACTAGGATTTTTTCTCACAAGGTTTTTTCCTAGTAAAGTTTAAATGAAATACATTTTTTATATAAAAGCATCCAAGGAGGAGTGTTGTACACATAATAAATACGTGTACATAAATGGATGCGTTTAATCAATTATGCATAGAGGCTATGTAGAGATCTTGTTAGCATTTTCGTAGTCATCTATTATCCTTTCCATTTACTTTATATATGTGTATGTTTCACAATGTAATAAATGCATGAACAAAAAAAATAAGCACTCCACATTTACTTCTCCTCTCACCGTCTCTCTGTTTTACTTATATATATACATATATATATATTCATCCATACATATATAGCATATTTATTATATACATAATATTATACTATTGCATGCACACATATACATATATATACACACACCCACACTCATAGCATATAGCTACTATATATATTATTGATATATATACATAGGGAACCTTAAAAGATTGAATAATACAATGGGAGAAGAAAACACAATTAACCAAATATTTGGTTCCATTTTTTCAAGTATTGCTTGGTTTTTTCTTTTTTCGATAAACCGTTATTCGAAAGTGCACACTGGGTAAACCATGTGTGGTAGGTGGATCTGGAGGCGTCGGGGTTCGAACCCATGACTTCACAATCACAAGTTTACTCTCCACTTCACCATGTCATTTTTTACAGGACTAAATATTGTTTGGTTTTGGTTTGAATATTGTGTATTTTATTTGAATTTTGGTTTAAATAATATTTTTGATATGATATTTTATTAAAAAACTAATAAGGGTACATGTTGAAAGCACATAGCAAAAAAAAAAAAAAAACAATCAGCAAACGGTATAAATACAAATAGCATATGTTATGTTAAATAAAATCGTACAATTGTGTTGTTTTTTTACTTTTTATTAAGCTGAAATCAAATCACTACAAAAAAAATTGACCTTTTGTAGCAAGTAAATTGACCGTAACAATAAAATCATCACAAAAAGATCTTTTTGTTACGAAATTTGTTGGTTTAAAAAGTTTTAATGTTGGTCAATAATTTTTTTATTTGTTTCGATTAGTTATCTGTAACAACTACATATAGGACGAAATTTCGTGCTAAATATAATTGTTACATAATTCAACCCGTAACAAAAAGAGTAATATTATAATTATTAAAAAGAAAAACATTTTATATTAAATGTTTATAAAAATTAAAATAAAAATTATTTGTTTCGGTAAACTATCCGTAATGTTTACATATAATACAAAATATGATCGTATATTTATTTATTATGCAATTAAAGTCGTAACAAAAATCAATATTATATTTATAATATTGTTGTAGGCATTAAAAATTAAATCTCTAAATTAAATTAAATATCACGTATTTTGGAAGAAAATAAAATTTCAATAATATAAATATATGACATTTAATTATGCACATATGTTAATTTTTGTACAATAAATATCAACCATTAATGCAAAAATATGCTTAAAATGGAAGATATCGTACAAATATTACGTATATAAATAGAGCCATAATAAATTTGGCAGCAAAATAAAATTAATCTTGTCAATAAATGAAGTATATAAATTAATATCTTCCAAAAAAGGCAATGATATAAAGATCTTGTCAATAAAGGAAGTATATAAATTAATATCTTCCAAAAAAGATAATGATATAAAGATTTTGGCGAGAAATGAAGGTGCACAATCAAATCCGTCAAGAATGGAAAACAACATCTGATGGAAAAGGAAAGATTATAAAATCTTTCCATCCACCTAGCACCATCCGAAAAGGAAGCCAAGGCCACCCTCCCCTATAAATAGGAGCCTTGGCCAATTTATTACACACCGAAGTTCATTTGAAGACTCGCGCAAGGGTAAGTCTCTTTAGACTCTCTGCAATATTCTTCATTGTTATTTGTGTCCTTCGAAGCGTTCTTCGTCGAAAAGTCACCGATGTGGACAAATGATCCAATATTGTTTGGCGAATCGATGAAGTTAACGTTCTTCGTCGTATGTCCGAGCCGGAGGAAGGATCAAAGCTCTCAAAGCCATCGAAGAATCCATCAAAGCCAAGGAAGAGCCTTCAAAGCCGCTCTCAAAGCTTCAAGATGTTCGTCGCGTTCTTCATAAAAGGCGCAAACCAGGCCCTCTTCGATTCAAAAGTCAAAGGGACACGCCGCCAAAAGCGTTATGGAGCACCAAATCTCCCCCCTCAAAGATCAAATTCCGTCGGATCATCCAAATGGGGCATCAATCCAAAGTCGACGATCAAAATCACCAACACGGATACCAAAGTCTTCCAAAATCCGGCGAAGTCAAACCGAAGACCAAAATCCCTTCGGATCAAAGAAGCCACCCAAATTCAAATTGGAAAAATGGATCGACCCGGAGAGAGAATCAAAGGATCCGAATAGAGAATAGGACCCGTATATATTTAAATTAAATGTAATTTGTACGATTTTGTGTTTATAAAAAAATATAACACAATTTTTTTTGTCTACAATTGCAATTAAAAACAACTATATTAATATATTTAAAAAAATTCAAAAATAAAATAAAGTAGAATAAAAATTGAAAAGCGTGTTAACGCTTCTACCATAAATATCCATATATATACAAGAAATAAGTTAGACAACTCCACATTTTGACCTCATCTTATCCCAAATTGATCTCCCATCGCCCCAAATCGAACTCCGATCCATAGGCGATGCTCTTCGCTTTGAGGTAGGCCAAGAACGACCATGGGCTACCTTCCCTCGACGGCGCGGTTGGACAGTCGTCATTCTTCGAGTGATTGGCGGTGTAAATCTTCCAAGCCGCGACGCTGTGCTCAAAAGATCGACATGAGATAAAAACCTAGGTATTCTATTGTGTACTTAACATCCACTTCCTTTTCTTTAGTAATTTTAAATATTTAGGAGTGAAAATTTCTAAGAATATTCTGGGAATTGTCTTGTAGTAGTTTAAGTTGCTTTTTCGGTATTTTCGTGCTTGTGAAATTGAAGGAATTTTCATGGTAGAATGGTGGATCTCTTCTTACCTTATAAGTGCTTAACTTTTCTGTCATCCCGTGTCTTTCTTAATCTTTCTCTGCATTTTGGAAGGATGACCAATGCCATGGTGGTAAGTAATCAAGGGATTGCTATGCTGTGCTATTTTTTTGACATAATCTTGTTATTTTGATGAGCTATGCTTGCTGATTACCTTATGTGTTTTGTCAATTGAGGTTGAGAGAGGGATGAAGAAGATGGTGACAATGATAGCACTCTTTATTTTGAAATATATATGAGGGTGTGAAATTGGGATATTTTGTTTATTAGTGCTATTTAATCAATCTATCGATGAGGTTGTGTCTTGAATATGTGGTTCAGTGCTCTCAATATACTATAGAATATAATGTGAATGAAAGGGATTTGGATAGAAAATGGATTTATTTGCAGTGTTCTCAGACTTCATTTAGTACTAAACTTAAGCATATTACCAACAGTATCTATTTTTATGAAAATCAAGCAATAAAATCTATTTACTCATTATCCGATTCTGCTATTTCTTCTGTTTGGAAGTAACCGTATTAGCTGTAGTATCCAGTTTTGTGGGAAGACTAAGTTTGTTTGGTTTGTTTTTCTGTTTCAGGTATTTTGAGGATAGTAACAAATTTGAACGTAAATTGGGTATTGAAGACTAGGTTTTTGATATAATATTTAAAAGAAAAATAATTGTTGATATGATATTTTTTTTGTTTTTGTTTTTGCAGAAATGTAATTAAGAACACAAAAGAGCATAGCCTAGCACTTTTAACTTGAATGGTGTAATGAAATTCTTATTGTTTCGTTTATTTTATATTGTCGTAACAGAAACTGGAATATTTGGTGATGGTAGCCCAAATAAGTTATTCGAGAAGTGTGAATGCTACTATTCCTAACAATATTTTGTATCAAATGCATTATTGACCTTTTCTTGGATAATGCTATGACCTATTCATCAATTCTTGAGGATGGGGTTTTACCTACAAAAATTAACACTCTCCTTCAGACATACTTATTTTTCTATTACCCTGGCTGATTGAATTTTTTAAATTGGAAAAATAGATCAGGTTTCTCATGAGGATATCACAGCTGATGGAGAAGATGATGAGTAGCTTTTGAGTGTAGTATTTTATATGAAGACGCGAGTTCTTATTTGTTCTTCTTAAATTCCGAGGAAGCCAGAATTTCACTCATAATCCAGTTTATAGATTTCTATCAAGAGAAATTAGCATAATGGTAGGTATTAATTATGAACTTATGAATTCTATACAGGTTGTTCTTATCTCAGATTGGTAAATGACTACTGGGTCATATTTTGTGAATTACATGTGATATTTACAGGACTAGCAAAACCAGTTCTAGTTGGATTTTTTCATATTTTGTGAATTACATGTGATATTTGAAGGACTAGCAAAACCAGTTCTAGTTGGATTAAAAAAATCCTTAGTTTCGAGACCCTTAATATAATAGATGTTATATTATAGCCTTGTATGTTTGAGTCATTACTTGTTATTTATTATAATGAAATATGTTATTTTTTAGAGCCAATCGATTTCTATTATGCTTGAATCATGTAATTAGCATTATTTATGTGTAATTTAAGTATGACCTGAGGCATCGGGGGTTTGAACCCATGACCACAAATCCAACCCCTACACCACCAAGCCATCCCTTATGGGACAGGTATTTGTTTTTATTAAGATGAGTTGTTGCTTCACTAATCGTTTTCTTATTATTAGGAATTTGGTTGTTAATGTTAAAGTCGTGCTTTAGTGTACTGCTTCAACTTTATTTTCTTTATTTTATTTATGTTTCAGTTTTTAAAATTGTGGATTACTTCAAATAACTTAGTTAGGGTTGTTCCTAGCATTTAGGAAGTAGTCAGTGATTCAGTTTTTATTGATGTCTTTTAAAGCCTCTCTTCAAGTGAATAAACGAGATATCCAGTTTCAGATTCTTAATTTTATTTTTCTTTTCTAATTCCTAAAATATACCAATAAATAAATACTTGAAATTTCATACCTAACTCTTGCATTGATTAAATATATGATATATATACTTTCAAAAAACCTACATTTCCTCACTAATTTTACAATTAACAATCACTGTTTATCTAACTTTTAATTTTATGGGTATTTCTGTGTAGTAAGTACCACATGTAATTTGGAAAATATTTAGTAGAACAGAATTTCTCATACAACTTCTTCACATGTATGATTGCAGCTGGTCTTAGATAAGTGATTTTAATACAATTGGACTGAAAATTATGTCAATTGATTTTGATCGCTACTTAAAACTAATCTATGTCTCTCTATGATACGGTTTCACCTACTTTTCTTGGAAGGTTTTTTACATGACCTTATCATCAGTTAAGGGGCTTACCCTAGTATGATTATTTTTTTTTTATTGTTCCTGATATTATAAAACATAATTTATTTACTCCATGATTTATCCCTCAAATTATTTTTTTGTAAGAGTTTGACCCTAACTTATCAACTGCATATTATATAAGTGATATCCTAGTCATTTTCAAGTATTTGTTATAGTTGTTACGATCCTGGAGACCGTACTTATTTTTCCGACTAATCCGGGAGCGAAGATCCTCAGTGAGGTACTTGACGGAGATAACATCGAGTGGACTTAAAAGGATGTATGCATTTTTAGATGTTTTATTCTTTTGGGAATTAAATTACTTCAATTGGTGATAAATTCTTATATATCATTGAAAATTCATTGCAGTTGGTTCGCCGCCCCTGATTGCTTCATCAGTGATTCTGCAATCGATGAGTTTGGTCATTCGTAGTTGTCTTTATTCACATACATTAAGATTGTATTGTGGTTTGATACTAAAATTATCTATTTAGCTATTACTTATTGGATTAGGGGATCGTATGTTAGGAAATTGTTAGTTGGTTGTTATGTTGTACGACATTGTGGTATTTTGGGATGCTTTAAAGCACTTGATGTCTAATATTCTTTTTTTAGCACTGTTGACTTTGGTTTTGTAACACAGTTTTTGTTACGGACAAAGTTTCGTCACAAAATGTTTTATGACAAGATGCCACTTTTGTACCGTATTTTTCATTCCGGACATATGTCATAACAAATAGTTTTCTGACAGCATTTAACTTTTGTGCCATATTATTTATTACGGATATATGTCGTTCTAAAAATATAATCGGTTCCTTCTGTTACGTACAAAAAAATGTAACAAATACAATTAAAATGTGCTTATTTTGAGGGTTGACCACAACTTATTTGTTACGAATTTTGTCGCAACAAAGACTTTGTGTACCGCGACTTTTAATAGCAGTCAAAATCCGTAGCAAAGTCAATACAAAAGGCTATTTTGCACGAAAATTGAATTTTCATTACGAATTTTTAACCGCTACAAAAAGTCTTTTTTTTTTTTTTTGTAGTAAATAGACTGTAATATTTTTTATTATTTGATTATAATATGTATTGTTCAATTTATGTTAAATTGTTAACGTAATACAAATATAATATATGAACATACAACACAATTTAAATCAACCACAATAGCACAAGCATCCTTTTCTTTTCTTTTCTTTTTTTTTTTTATCGGAATAACAAGCATCTTTTTTAATTTAACATATTATGTATTATGTGTGGTGAATGTCATTCTGCGCAGTGATCGAAGATTTTTGGAGAGTTTTTTAAAATATCTTGTAAGATACAAAAAAAAAATGATATATGTATAAAATGAAAATAGTGTTGTGCGTGTTCGTGTAGTAACTCCAAAAAGTTCGTTAAAAATAAAAAATCTCTTAAACCGGTGAGTGTCCGGGTCGAACTCAGGGAATATGCGAATATCCTATATTTAATTAGAAAAAGTGCAATGAGTTAATGCAATCGAAGAAACTGAAAAGATAAATTGCGGAAATTAAATCTAACTAAAAAGCGATAAAATATACGGATCTCGAAAAGGATGAAGCGAGGCGTTTGTGTCTGACTTTTGCGTTCCTTAATGGCTAGATTTCCATGGATGAAATGAGCGGGATGACGATAGCGTGATAGCGAAAAATATATGTATAATTGCGGGGCGGCTCGAAAAAATGAATGTGATCGCATTTGCTCGCTTAAGCTGATTATCGACTCGGTTGGTACTTGATCTTGGGGGATTTACAACGAGGCTTCAGCGACACCCGACGAAGAACATTATAAGCAAGAAACCCTACTGTCACTAGGAATCTCTGTAACCCAATAGACCCCCGCCTATGCCCCATGAATTATTCTTCCAACCATTCTGCTAGTAGCTCTACCCCTTTTGTTACCTCTCTTTAATCAAAATCGAATTCAGAACAGCAAATAAGCAGGTCGACAAGGCTCCCGCGTACTTAGCTACGTTGAACTACCCGGAAACCGCTTTTGGCGCATAACATGGCTGAAATAGTCGATTCTTCTGTCGCCCTTCCGCAACCTTTTCGAAATCCAACTTGAACAATTCAAATCGAACATGGAATTTTTGGGTGAAGGTGAGGTGGAGAAATATGATAGGAATTTTACTGGCTAAAATACTATGCTGAAATTAAAAGAAAAAGGGGGAGAAAATCAGTTTGCTCGCGACACAAAACCGAAAATCTCGTATTATTAAACTAGATAAAAAAATACGGAAGAAAAGAAATGGAGAAAATAGAATGTATATTATTGTGTATATATGGTGTATATATATATCTATTGTCTATATATATATGGTACAATTAGAGGGGATATTTATAGGGGAAAAACTTCTAGAAGCTTGACGGTTACAACCGCCAATAAATAACTACTTCTAAAAATAACTACTAACTACCTCTAAAAATAACCATAAATAACTAACTCTAAAAATAGCTACTAATATAACTACTAATAACTACCTATTTTCTAGAAGGTTCTAGAATAAAAATTACACAAAAATAACCAAAAATTGGCTAAAAAATAGTGCAGGATATTAATTAAGGGAGCTGAGAGAGTGTAGTAAATGCAGGAGCTGAGGGTGCAGAAGACATAAATGCAGCAGAATTCTGTGCAGGAATTATTGTGGCGGCGCAGTAAATGCACTGCTGACCAGCGGCAATAAATGCAGCGAGAATTAATGCAGCCGCCGCTTCGCTCACTTCCACGTATGGCTTTCCGCTCCGCTCATATTTTCGTGTCAGTCGCCGCTTCGCTTTCCGCGCTCGCTTGCCTTCCGCGCCAGCCGTCGCTTGCCTTCCACGCGGCCGTCGCTTGTCTTCCGCGCTCATAAATACAGCCGCCGCTTGTCTTCCGCGCGGCCGTCGCTTGTCTTCCGTGCTCGGTTGACTTTGACTTTCGCACATTGACTTTCTGGCGTTGACCGTTGACTTTTGTTGACTTTCACGCTGGTGACTGTTTTTTTCGTTTCTGAAGCCATTTTTTCACTTTTTTAGGCCAGTTTTGGGCTCCCATATCAGTTTTCAAGCATTATTTCACCTATATAAATAATGAACATCTTATAAATATTTCTTTAAATAAATAATACTTATTAAATAAAATTAATTTAGTTAAAATTAAATACTTAAATAGCACATAAATAATGCCAAAAAATATAATTCAAGAAACACATCAATTAATTTAATTTATGCACCAAAATAATTATAAATTGCACTTAAAAACTAATAAATTAATATTATACAAACAATATGAAATGAATACAATTATTAGAATAAATTAACATAAATAATACCAAAATTCGACATAAACAAATAATTAAATAGATAAATATAAGCTATAAAATATGGCAAAATCAAGTGTTATCACGCAGGAACCATGAAAATAGTAGTTATGTCATGTAAAAATATTTATAATATAGTTAAAATGGTAAATTACATAACTTTCTTTATATTTTAGTAAAAATGTATAAAATATTGTGTGATTTATTGATGGTATGAACGTTAATGTAAAATTTGCGGAAATACTATTTTTCTTCAACCTGTAAATATGAATTCAACACTGCAAAGTTTTATATAAATAAAAGAGATAAAATATATTAAATAATTTTTTTTGAATAAAATTAATAAATAATATATAATTGATTAATCCTTCATTTTCTAATTTTTTTGGAGACATTATTATAATAATTTATGAATTAATTATTTATTTATTTTATTCAATAAAAAAAATTTAATATATTTTATATATTTGTATAAACCTTGAGTAATTTAGAGTTTTATTTAGAACTAAACATAAGGTGGATATTTTCGTACAAAGCACATAAAAATTTGACGTAACAAATAAAATACACATATTTTGTATATTTTTAGTAAAACTGAAAAGATTCTTATATAATTTACCATAGTTAAAATTTAAACAATGTATATTTTACTTATAATTTTTTATAAATATCAAATTAAATATATATTTTTATATTACTAATTAAAAATATTATATTAATTTCTATTTATATTGTATTAAATAATTATTTTAATTATAGAAAAATTTATTTTAAAAACATCCAACCAACGCAACTCTCAACAAACAAAAATGGACCGCGTACGAGCACTCAAAATTAACATTCATTGAACCCATTGAGAAGAACGGCTCCTTTTAGACAAGAAATTTTAAGAAAGTTTTGGAATTTTAAAATTTTGAAAGAAATATATAAAAGTAAAAATTTAATATTTAATTAAATATTTTATAAAAAAATATAAATATATATATATTTGATATAATATTTTTCTAAATGAATAAAAATTAGAGAAAATTGTAATAAATATTCCGTATATATAGCCAATTGTCAGCTTGTCCTTTAAATCGTTACACATGTCGCACGATCAGTGTACATGAGAAATAAAATTGATTTAGTATTTATTAATTGTTATTTCTTTCAAAATTACAATTCAATCCTTAGGTATAATTGCAATTTACTCTAAGGATCAAAATGCAATTTAAACATTATATATCATTGCCATCGTCTTTCATCTCAATTCAAAATTGTAATTCCGTCGATTTCTGTAACTCGAAGAGGTGTCTGGTCGCTCCATCAACTCAAATTTTCCATCCAGTCCTTTCGCCCATACCGAAGACGTCTTCATTATTTCTCTCCAGGTTAAGGGTTTTCGAAATGTGTAATGTCATACATAACTAGTTCGATGGAATGTTATTGCGGTGCGAAGGAAAAATTGAAGTGTTCTTGCACAAATGACAGCCAGGGTCGTTGGTTCCATTCATGTAGACATTATCGGGTAAATTCTTATGTTCGTATGTAGTTTTTTCTTTATCTTCATTATTTCAATTTTTTCTTCTTTTTCGGCAGAATGGTGGAGGAGGATGTGGATTTTTCTCTTGAGAGGATTTAGATGCTTTTAAGAAAATTAGATGGCAAGGACAAGGAGATATTACTCCTCAAGAAGAAGAACAAACGAAACTTGAATGTCGCCTTTTTGGTTTGCTATTATGATACCATGTTTGTCCATTTTCATGATGTTATCTTAGTGTTGCAGGTGCTTGTTTAGTTATGTTTGTTGTGCAATTCTCATGCTGCACAATGTTAGAATTTATTTATGATGTTAACTTTGACTAGGTGTTTTGTAATGTCATTCCCATTTTGCATGAGGATTATTTATCATTGTTTAGTTGTGTTTGTAGTGCAATTTCTATTTTGCATAAGGATTATTTATTGATGATGTTATCTTAGTTTACTTGGTGTTTGTTAAGTTATGTTTGTGGTGCAATTTTTGTTTAGAAGTTGCAAGTGTTGCCCATTCTAATATAGAAATATTTCAACTCCAAATCAACATAAACGAGATCGGATGATGATTGTGATCTTGTGTTACGAATGTAGGTGCAGAAGCAGTAGTGGAGGTTCTAATGCGAGATGTTGCTCTCGGTCGGATCACAGGGGGTAAAACCCGTCCGGAATTTGTGTTGTGTAGTTGATGGCCCCTACACATTATTAATAAAGTGGAGATTGATATTGACATACAAGAAACATGTTAAAGTCTTGATATACCTGATTTTCAGG